TGAGGTACTTCTCTACATTCTCTTGAGAGCTTTCCACAGCTGTCATCACACAAGTGTCACAAAATACTGTTCAGCCTGGTACCTGTCATAAGGCTGTGGTGTCTGCTTAGGGGACTGCATAGAGGAAAGGCTCCATAGGTGAGGCCTTGAGCAGTAGGTAGGATTTGAGGAGGTGGAAAATAGAAGGGGGTATTCCAGCCATTGAGTACTGCCTGAGCAAAAGCAAGGAGCCAGACGTGCAGATGTTGGATAGGAGACTGGGAGGATGGGCAGCAGGTACTCCGGAATGGCTGGAGTAAGGGATTTCACAAGAGTAGTGCTGGAAAAGTAGACCGGCCCCCGAGTGTGAGGTGCCTCGAGTGTCTCCTAACACAGGAAGGAGGAATATACCCCACTCGGAAGACATGGTGAGAGTTTCTGCTAAACTGCAGGTAATAGAGGTGAGGCCAAGGCTTGCTCACTCAGTACAATTAGGGCCTCTGTGGGATGACCAAAGATAAGAGGCCTTACTATCCCTGGGACTCCTTGAGTTCTGGGTGAATGGGTGTGCAGCCATGAAGATGAGAAAAAGCAGCAATTGGCAAAACCTGTTTCTTCTTTTTGCTTTTTGGCAGAATTAGTTCCTGGTGTGCCGTGGCATTTTGCTTTTATCCATATTGGATGTCTACTGTATGCTAATTAACCTTTTGAACTGATCTATTGTCCTATTATATAATTTAAGTATAAAATTTAAATTATAAAATTAACATATAATTTTGTATAGCCTCTTGTTATATAAATAAATAAAATAATGTAATTCTCCCTTCAGTCCTCTAAGAGTGGTATTCTAATGGCCATTTCCCAGATGGGCTCATTTCACAGAGCCGAGGCTCTGAGAGGTTAAGTAACGTGTCCCCCATCCTAGAGCTTTGTGAATATATCAGAGTCAACAGTCAGCCCTGTTCACCTCTGCTTCTCTGTTCAGACTGGAAAGCTCTGGAAGGTGATATGTACAGAGGCAACACGGCTCTGCTTTATTTGGCTTGTGAGAAGGAGGAAAGAAGGCTCCCAGCAGCTGCTGTGTGGAGAGTAAAGGTGGGGTGTAGGAAGAATGTACCCAGAGGTCCAGTTGCCATTATTTGGCAGGAATTACTGTATGTTAGGAAATAGCAATAAAAGTCACACTGCCCTGGGTCACAGGTTTTGGTATAGACTGACATGTTTTACATGTGGAATACAGAAGGCAGAGTCTGGTCTGAGAGGCAGAGCTGCGCGGCCAGACACATGAGCAGACGTGTCCGCACGAGGGGAGATGGAGACAACCTGGACCTGAGGACTCTCGCTCCCTGAGCATGGAGTTGCCGTATGGAAGGCATTTCTAGCATCTGTTTGTAGCATGGATATCTAAGTGAGGCTGGGAAATATGTGTGTGGCTGTAGGTGTAGGAGAAGTAGATCGGGTCTGCCTGGCTTGGGAAGATGAGAAATGGTCAGAGCAGGTGAAGCGGCCCAGTCTTGCAGCATTCTAACTAGACCCCTGTCTGTGGCGCACAGGATTCTGGTCTTCCTCTACTGTTCAGCTCCTGGCTGTGTCTGTCACGGCAGGGTCAGTGAATTAACAGTTGGTGGTCTTTGATCTGAATATGAGGCAGGTGGAAAATTGCTTGAGATTTTAAAAAATGAATATTTAGGATGGTCAAATATATAAATAACAAGCCCAGAATATCAGAAGTCACCATCTTTAATGTGAATATTTACGGAACCAATAGATGGAGAAGTTTTTTTGTTTGAAGTCATAGAAGATCCTAATTCCGAACCATTTGGTAGTGATGTGTAAAGGTTCATATAGCAACCCCCCCACCGCCCACCACCACCACGCACCCCTGCTCCAATCTGGGCTTTTCCCTTTCTTTTCTCCACCCTCCTCTTCCCCTCCTTGAAGCTTGCCCACATGCCCAAAGCTGCTTGGAAGCAATTTAGACTCCCTTCCAAAGCATCAATTCACCACTGCTTGGCACACAGGATCCTTGTGGATGGATACTCAGTTCTCTTCAGGCGATTTGGAAATGACCATTTCTGAAAACGTAAATATTTGATAATAAAGTCAGGAATAAAGAGATGAAAAATCTTTTGTTATTGCCTCATGTTGGAACTTGTACGAATTTGAAAAGTCTGCTGTTTCATCTCCCGAGTTTAGAACAGCAGTCTCTGTGTTCTGGTTATTCAGACAACTTCATGGCAACAGAGCGCCCTCCTTTGGCATGAGGTTACATCTCCAAATTATACCACCCTACTTTTGTTAACAGTGCATCCCCCTCTAGTCTGTGAGTAGCAGGGCTGACAGGGAAGGGAGGGGAGGGAATATATATTTCCTGATTGTTTACCATGTGCCAGGATTAGGGCCTGGCTTCTTTATGCATGTGATCTCATTTATAGAGAGTATTATTCTCATTTTATTAATACAGAAATAGAATCTCGGAGAAATTAATAAATTTGCCAAGGGTCACAGAGCTAGCAGTATTATTTAATCAAGATTTGAACAAGACCTAACTCCACAAAGTCCATGTTTTTTCATTACGCTAACTATGCTAGGGATGTATAGGGTCCAGGATCATCATAAGGATGAGGCCTAGAAGAAATTCCAGGGTATTCTTTGTTTTCTTCAGTCCTACACTGCTCCATTATTTCTCTCCAAGTGAAATCAACTTAATATAAACATCAGAGATTGTCTTGACAGGAAAAATAAAGAAAGCATTGTTTAAGGTTGTTGTGGGAGGAGGACCCTAGAGGATAGCATGAAAGAAAGAAAGGAGCAATCCTACTTGGTGTGTGGAGGGGGTGGGGTTAGAGGCGAAGGGAACTTCGTCCTGTAGATGTACGTGTGAACCTCAAAGAAGGTTGAGATTCTGTCAGGGAGGCTCCAGTAAGCCATCTCCTTGGGTCCTAGCCCAGCTCCCCGGGAAGTCATCGACTTGATGCACTAGAAAACCAGAAGAGTTTCTAGAAGAGTCTGAGAGATCACATTCTCTACAAAGAAAGAAAAGAAAGAAAAAGAAATGGAAAAAAATGACCAGATGAAGGAAAAGAAGCTTATGAAACTGGCACCGAGACTGGGTCCATGAGGCTGCTGTCTTTGGGCCGGCGCAGATGTTTATTGTACTGCTGCGTAGGGTCAGGCCAGTGCAGAGGACCTGGTAGGGCTAAGAGTAAGGCCTTAGACATTTGTAGGCGGATGGGAACAAAATAAGGACCAGCATCTCTTCTATCAAGTGGAGCAGGGGGTCATAAGGAAGGAAGCTGTTTCAGTGGAGATGATAGGGTTGACATGGGTTTTATTCTGATCCATTATTAGGATGTTTTGTGACCCTGAGCAAGTTATCTTAGGACTCTGGAACTCAGTTTCTTTATCTTCAAAATGAGCACCTTGCCAGGGATATTGTACTCTGCAGGAATCTTGCAGTGGCAGATGTATGATAAATGCTTGACATGTAGTAGACTTTAGCAAACGGTCACAATTTGTTGATTAAGTGCTGTGACTGCCTGATTCTGCTTCCTTATTTGCAGGAGCAAGGCATCTCTTACCCTGCTGTAGCTGGTATGGGGCTGGAATCCCAAAGCCTAGAGGAGAATAGAACTAAAGTCTTCTTTATTTTTTTTAAGATTTTATTTATTTGAGGGAGATACAGATAGTGAGAGAGAAAGAGCAGGAGTGGGGAGGAGAGGGAGAAGCATGCTCCCTGCTGAGCAGGGAGCCCGATGTGGGACTCGATCCCAGGACCCTGGGATCACAACCCAAGCCGAAGGCAGATGCTCAACTGACTGAGCCATGCAGGCGCCCCAAGAAGAGAACTAATTTCAAATAAGGTGCAAGTTCATGAGTCAAGTGGATAGGCAAAAGGTGGGGGGCCAAATCCAGGAGGAGGAACATCTGAAAGCAGAGTCTGGGCCAAGATGCCACGTGGAGACCCAGGAGAGTCACAGGTGTCAGGCTTAGCAGAAGAGCAGGTCAGAAGAGTCTCGAGTGTCTCTGTGAGCTCCCCCAGCTTACTTTCAGTTAGTTAATGGGGCAGGGGGCTGTGTATCCCATGTGGGTTTGAGGCCGCCACAGAGAATAGACAAGTGTAATCACTGTCCCTCACGTGCGCCTTCCCTCACGGTGGTCAGTGTGGTGGACGAGTGAGGGGTACCAGAAAGCAACTCAGAGGCTGAGGGCTCAGGTGATAGGTTCTCCACTGTGCACTTGATTCTGGTCAGAGAGAAACTAGCTCTGAATCCCCCAGGGTCTGCATGTTTACTTACTAATTGGGATGTTTTTTATTCTTATTAAAAGTTACATTTCTTTGTCTTGAATGATTTTTTAAAATACAGAAAATAGAAATAAAAAAAGAAATCACCTGTGATCTCACCATCTAGATGTAACCACCATTAATATTCTTGTGTTCTCTCTAGACTTTATTCTGATGCATATCAATGTACATATTCATGTTTAATAATGGGATTAGACAATACTTCATGTTTTGTGAGATTTTTTCATTTAAGATGTCATTGCTGTTTTTGTTTTATATTACGAGATCCATCATATTCTCGTGTATGAATTTATGTAATTCCCTCTTGGGACATTTACGCTTTATCTGATTTTCTGCTATTACAAATTTTGTGGTAAACTCTTCCTTGGTAAGTCTAGGAAGATGTACACAATTCTTCCATGAAGTAGATAGCTTGGTCAAAGGATAAGCAGAATTCAGAGGTTTTTTACTTCAGCAAATGGTATTCCAGAAGGGTGGTATAAAATTGGCACACCTGCCAGCAGGTGTGTACAAACATTCATTTCCCCAGAGCATCGGCAATAGTGCACGATACCATGATGAGGTATCTTTAGTTTGGTAGCTGGAAACACTACATGTGTTTTAATTTTACATGCTGTTGATTTATGACGGTAACTCCAGCCCTCAACACTGGTCTCCCATACATTCGCCATTCCTTCCTTCTTTCCTCCCTGATGGTGGTTTTCTGTTTTTGCAGCATTGCTGGGAGCCTGGTGTATTCCTACATCACTTTCTCTGAAGAGCAGCTGAGCAAACAGTCAGAGACCAGTAACAAGCTGGACATTAAGGGGAAAGGAGCAGTATGACCAGAGGATTGCTTCGACGACGTAGGCCCAAGTTTTTGATCAACTGAGAACACTGGCAGTTCTTACACAGACACTGAGGGGTGTCCTGATTATGGAGAAAATAACCATTCCTTGCACTTGTACAATCTGAGGATTGATTGCTGCCTTTTAAAATTTTATGAGAGAAACTTATAATTGACTCTATTTTAAATATGCCGTTGGAATTAATTTATATCAAACTGGAAAATGTACCAGGCTTTTTAATTTATTTCTTTTATGCCGACAGTGAAACATCGGTGTTTTGAAAATATTGTATCCCATAGTTTGATATCCAGGTGTCCCTTAGAAGCTGCATATATACAGTGCTCCAGCTGGAGCCTCCTCATTCAAATTGTTGCTGCATATAGAGGGAGGTTAGCCTTCCTTCTGCTGGAAATGCAGCCAAGTATCTAAAATTTCTCCTTTTTAAATTTTATTTCTTAACAATTGCATTTTCTTCATAAGGATATTATGACTGCATTTGCTAAAGATGACAGCTTTGGCACTACAAAACTATGTGGGCTTTGAAGTTGTATTGGTTTCCATGTTGGCTTCCCTGAGAACCCCTGGGATGGGCACAGTGCATCCCTTGAAATTATGCTATTCCCTCTTTGTTGTGTAGGATGGCGATAATGAAGGGATGGAGAAAGTAGGCCTCTTACTCATTTATTCATCTATAGGATTCATTCAGCTCAAATGTACTGGGTATGTAATATGTACCTGGCATTATGCTAAGTGCTGGGAGTACAGAGATGTTTTTGGAGGTAGTGAAATGATCTCACTCCTGCTGTTGTGACCGAGGGTTAAGAAAGAAACTTAACTTGATGATCCATTCAAAAGAAGTTCTGAACAAGTCACAGAAATTTTTTTCAGCTCTTAGAAACTGCAAGTCTATAAATGGGCTTGGAAGCACCTGCCCTTACCTACCCCACAGTGGTGAAACCAGATGCTACAACATGAGATGACATGCATGTGAAGAGCTGCATTTTATTTATTTAACAGTTTTTTTGTTTTAATTTTTTTTTTTTTTTAACTCTGTACCCAATGTGGGGCTTGAACTCATGACCCCAAGATCAAGAGTTGTATGGAGAGCTGCATTTTGTAAACCATGCAGCTCAGCCCTTCTTCCCTGAGGGAGAATGGCAGGCCAGCAAGGTGGCCACCATCTCTTTCCTGTGCTTCCCTCCTCTGGGTTTAGTTGCTATTCTTTTCACTCCTCTTTGAATTAACACAACTAGGCCTTACATTCCTGCATGTATTGGTTTGAGGGGAAAGCCTGTTTAGATGTTTCTGTATTGTCAAGGCTTGGTCTTTGTCTGGGTGTCAGCATTAGAGCTTAAAGGGCATGAGCGTAGCCGTCTCCTCTGGATACTCTCACCCACATCCTGTGTCCCTTGGGCATGTCAGCTTCTCTCAAGACTTCTGTTACATCCTGGGAGAGCAGCTGTGGATGGGCATTGCCTGAATTGCCTCTCTGGGCAGGAAGGGGCTTCCCTCACGCACAGCGCTGTGAGCTGGCACAGAGACATCCCCCAACTTTGGGTCTGAGTGTTTGCACAGGCTGGTTGTGCAGTCAGTGCAGAAGAGGCTGGGTACTTTGGCACTGGTACACACTAACTTCTCTTTCACTGGGTTTGGAATCCACAGGGCTCTGTTGATCCAAACAATTAGCATTTTGGTGGCTTAACAGGAGACCTGGAAGGTTTTGATTTTTTTATTTTTAAAAAATTATATTGTCATTTTCATATTCGTGTGTTTCCTGTATTTGGATTTGTCTTTACTAAAGCCTGACCAGTGGTATTGGGTCCCTAGAATTAGCCTCATGGCCAACTTCCAAGCTAAAAGCTCCCAAGGCTCCCTTTTTTTAGGGTCATCTGATCTAACAAAATTCTGGGGGCGGGGTGCATAGGACATTTTCTTGTCAGATGGTTTTTCTTGTCTGTTTTACCAATAAGAAAACAAGACTGAGGGAGTAGGTGACTTGCTAAGAAGTAAAAATTCATGTTTCTCCTGTTGAACCGTTCTGCCATTAACTGCCCTTTTCCTTTGAGAATGAGGAAATGGGGGTGCCAGCTGAGTTAGCTTGAGCTCTTTCAAGGAGGCAAGTGCTTGGTTGAATGTGGAGTCAGAGAGGAATAGGCTTTGCAAATTAGGGACAGTGGTGCCAGAGCTTCTATCTAGCTTCCAGGCTGGCCTCAGTTGATATGAACTCTGCCTGTGAATGTTGCCTGCCACTGCCTCGTTTTTTGTGAGAGTTAATTTTAGTGGTTCTGTTCCTCCTCCTACCAAGCCACATGGAGGGAACTCTGACTTTAGAAATAATTTTAGTTGTAGAATTTCTCATTATGAAAGGCCTTTGGATGTGTCTAGAGCTATTAGGCTAGAACCCCAGCAGGGGTTGAACTGCTTTTTGGGGGTCAGGTTCCTTGAAGATCTGTGATCTAGTCTCTAGGTTTGAGAAAATCATGTGTAATTACAGCCTCACTAAATGCACATGACCTTAGACCCCCTGCCCCCTCCCCGGGCTAAACTTGCTGACTGGTCAGAAGCAGCAGAGCAAGTGAAGCTGCTGCCCTGCCGGGTTCTGATTCCTAGATGCCCCTTTTGACTTCCACCAACATGTCAAGATAAGAGAAAGCAGCCTGGGGAAGTTAGAGACTGAATAGACTGGCCAACCATTTTTGGAGTTTCTCAGTTACGTGCAGGCTTGGCTCTAGTGAACTAGAACTTTACCTGGTGCTCTAACATCACCCAGAATGTCTGGATTTTGCCCCAAGGTTGATATTTTACAAGGCAAAAACTCCATGACCTACTAACTACCTCCTGGGAGAAAAAGAGGCAGCTTTATAGTTAAATCCTTAATTTGCCCTTTGAGACAGATGAGCTGTGATGAGAATTTTGAAAACCAAATTCCGTCTAGTGGCTCCTCTTCTTGAGTTAATGACAACAAAGTCCTCTTTGGCCATTCTGCTTTTTATTTCATGCCAGATTGATTCAGATAACCCTGGTTGACCAGACTGCATTTTGCCAACGTGTCAGGTGATTTTTAATTGCTTCATATGGCTATTGGCTTTATAAGTCAGTTAACTTGCATGTTGATTTAAAAAAACATGGCATCTGCAAGTTTTCTATAGTCGTGTCATATCAAGAATCCATGGAAAGTTCGGGTCAGTAACGCTGAAACAGGTTCTTCACGGAAAGACTAGTAGAGTTTCATATTTGACTGGTTTGGAATAGTGCTTAGGATTTTGGACCTGCTTTTGTTATTGTAGTCTTATCAGTGAACAGAGATTTATTGAGCATCTTTTTTATGCCAAGCTCTGTGGAAACCATCATGAATAGGACAGTTCTTGCTCTCAAGGAATGTGTAATTCTTTAGCCAGACCCATAAGAAGAGAAAGGAAATGAAAGGAGTCAGTGATTTGTAAGTAAGAGCTGTTGGCAGTTACCGTAGATTAGGGGTGCCCCGCCCACCCATAGAGCTGAAGCATTTTTTTAATCTAAAAGGACTTTGACAACTCCTGCTACTCTTCCAGCTCAGAGAGAAGTGCCAGGCTATTAGAATTGTGTGGCTAGCCTGGGTTCCCCCTCCCTCTGTTTCACATATTCTTTCTTCCCCATAACTGTGTCATCCAGGAGTCACCCCTTCTCCTCGGTTTCAGTTACCCGTGGTCAACCAAAGTCTGGAAGCAGATGCTCCTCCTTCTGACATATCCTCAGAAGGTCAGTAGTAGCTTCACGCTACCTCACGTTGCCTGCATCATTCTCCTCGCTTCATCTCATCACATAGACATTTTATCACCTTATATCATCACAGGGGTGAGTGCAGTCCAATAAGATACTTTGAGAGATGCCACATTCATGTAACTTTTATTACAGTATATTGTAATTTTTCTATTTTATTGTTGGTTGTTAATCCCTTACTGTGCCTAATTTATAAATTAAACTTTATCATATGTGTGTATAGGACAAAAGCACACATAGGGTTCGGTACTGTCTGTGGCTTCAGGCGTCCACTAGGGATCTTGGAACACATCCCCTGTGGATGAGGGGGGGCTTCCACATCGGCTCCTCCTTAGGAACGAGGCTGTAATTGATGTTTCCTTCCTCAAGGGAAAAACTATAATATTCACAATAAATGAGATAATGGATGTGAAACCACTTCAGCACGATGCCTTGTACATATAAGGCACCCGGCAAGTGTATAGCCATACAAGTATTTTGTATGAAGAGCACGTACCATCATAATTTCATGGTGAGGCTGTAGGCAAACTAGATACTTCATCTCTGCTCCTTAAAATGCTAGAGGCCTGGGCAGTGGGTATGTTTCTTGAAAAACGTGACCCTGTACTTCGTTGCCTCTGGAATGTTTAAATAACTGTCTTTAAAAAAAAAAAAATGCCTACTGGATATAATTGTGGCCATTATGTGATGCAGGTCATTCCACCTGTTTTTAAAAAAGAACAAAGATACTTATATTTTGGTGGTGAATTTCAAAAGAGAAAAAGTGATTTTCTATCTTCACCTCAGAATGGTGATGCTGGTTACGCTTTCCCAGTTTGTCTCCTTAAGGTGTAGCTCTTCTACAGGTTCCGCAGGCCAGACACTCCTTCTTCCCTTTTCCAAGTGAAACACATTGGCTCTGTGGCTTCTCTGGTGCCATCACTGTGTTCTGAGCTTGTCTGCTAAGTCCTATAGGAGGGCGCCACTTCACGATGGTAAGAAAAGATATTCGGGTTTTTTTAAGCTTTCTTTTTTGCATTTTTAAAAAGAAATCTGCTGGTTAGATTTATTGTCTCACAAAAATGTTTTTAGAGATTATTTTTTTTCATGCTGATGATCAACTAATTTTTGTCTACAATTGTTGGCCTATCACAGTATTTTTTCAGTACAGATCCTATTTACGAAATGACCATTTTAGTGTTTTTAAAAGGTACTAAGGATTGAGATATGTAAATCAGGTGACATAAATATGAAAATTATGTGCCTAAATATTTTTGTAAACGTGTCAAATAAATACTTTTTCCTGAACACATGTATTAAAATTCCTTTCTAAGTGCATACAAAGAGCTGTAAGTCTGCCCACATTTAAGAGGATGGCATCCAGTTAGTTGATTGAAACCCTGTTATAAACAGTTTGCCACCATGATACTGTGATTTATAATAGAAATTTATATTTGATCTTTGTCCCTGTTCCTGGCACATAGCTCCTGAAGTTCTTGTACATTATAACAAAAGATACTCCTATAGCTGATATCTATTTTTGTTCCGAGTTGTTGAAATAGTTCCATAGCCAAAAAGATGAAATGGGAGTCTTTTGTTATTCATAATGAGCCTCTTTCAACCAACTGCACCTGTTTCTTAATGAGGTGACCTTTGGAGAGCCCCAAAGGATGGGTAGGAGCTGGTTGTGGGGGGAACCAACCGTGGTGATTTGTGTCGGGAACTTTCAGGCTCCTCCCCTACCCTTCTAGGGGAAGGGGAGAGGAACTGGAGGTTAAGTCAGGCACTGATGGCCAGTGATTTAATCAATCATGTCAACATAATGAAGGCTCCATAAAAATCCCTGAACTACAAGGTTTGGACAGCTTCCAGGCTGCTAAACGTGTGGAGGTGCTGGCGGGGGTGGGGCGCGGTGGTGCTCCCGGAGAGGGCAGGAAGGCCCCATGCCCCTTGCCACATATCTTGCCCAATGCATCTCTTCCATCTGGCTGTTCCTGATACATCCTTTTATAAGAAACTGGTAGTTTAAGAAATAACTGTTTTCCTGAGTTCTGTGAACTAAAAGTATTCAAACCTGAGCAGGTCCTGGGGACCTCTGGTTAATAGCTGGTTGGCCAGATGCACAGGTTAACCACCAGGATTTGTGATTTGCTTTGGAAGGGGGTGGGGAGAGGTAACAGTCATGTGGGACTGAGCCTGTGAGTCTTGTGGGAACTACGGGACCGGATGCTAACTCCAGGTAGACAATGTCAGGACTGGGTTGTAGCTGACGCAGCCGGTGTTGTGGATTTGCTTGGTACATAATATTGAGAGAAGACACAGGAGGAATTTTTCCTTTATAGCCATGCAAGTATTTTGTATGAAGAGCACATACGATTAGATACCCAGTGTCTCTGGCATACTTGTGCTAAATTCAAAGGAAGATATGTCATCTGCTTAATCAGTTGTCTAAGCCTCTGAGTAGCCTGACCAGGAAATAACCCTAAAATAAAACAGTGCTCATCAAGAGAGGCATTTTGGTACAGGAAAGCTCAGCAGAATTAGGTACATTAAGGCTTTAAAACTATCACAAAATATAAGCATAAAATTTACCATTTTAACCATTTTTAAGTGTACAGTTCAGTAGTAGTAAGTATATTCACATTGTTGTACAACCAGTCTCTAGAACTTTTTCATCTTGCAACTAAAATTCATACCCATTAAACAGCTCCCCATTTACCCCTTCCTTCCAGCCCCTGGGCAACATTCTACTTTCTATGAATTTGACTGCTCTAGTTAACTTCATACAAGTGAAATCATACAGTTTTTGTCTTTTTGCTACTGGCTTCTTTCACATAACATAATGTCCTTGAGGTCCATCCATATTGTAGCATGTTGTTATAATTTATTTCCTTTTTAAGGCTTAATAATATTCCATTGTATGTATATAGCACATTTTATTTATCCATTCGTCTGTTGATGGACACACTGGGCTGCTTCCACCCTTGGCATTGTAAATAATACTGCAAAAATTGGGTGTCTTAATCAGTTTGCTGTAACAAATTACTATAGAATGGGTGGCTTAAACAACAAACATTTATTCTCACAGTTCTAGAGGCTGGCAAGTTCAAGATCAAGGTGCTGGCAGATCTGGCGTCTGGTAAGAGCCTGCTTCCTGGTTTGTGGGATATCCATCTTACCGTCACCTGATGGAGAGCAGAGGGGAAGTTTTGTCTTGCCTCTTCTTGTAAGGACACTAATTCTATGAGGGCTCCACCCTTATGACCTAATTACCCTCCAACTACCATCACACTGGGGATTAGGGTTTTAACATACAAATTGTGGGGGCGGGGGCACAAAATCTATAGTGGTGTTTGCAAAGATGCTTTCAATTCTTTTGAAATTGCTGGGTCATCTGGTCATTCTGTTCTTATTTTTTTAAGGAACTGCCATACTGTTTTCTATTTTGTGGTTGCACCATTTTACTTCCCAATCAGTGTGTACGAGGGTCCCAATTTCTCCACATCCTTGGTAAGACTGACTTTTACTGAAAGTAGCCAGCCTAGTGGGTGTGAGGTGATCATATGGTGGTTTTGATTTGTATTTTCCTAATGATTAGTGATGCTGAGCATCTTTTCATACGCATATTGGCCATTTATATACTTTCTTTGGAGAAATGTCTATTCAAGTCCATTTTTTTGTTGGATTTTTTGTTCATGTGTCATTCTTTGTATGTTCTGAGTTTCAACCTCTTACAAAATACATTATCTGCAAATACTTTTTCTACTCTGTAGGTTGCCTTTTCATTCTTACTGTGTCCTTTGATGCAGTTTTAAATTTTGATGTAGTGCAATTTATGTTTTTGTGTTTGTTGATTATGCTTTTGGTGTTATATCCAAGAGGTAATGGTCAAATCCGTTGTCATGAAGTTTTTCCCCTATGCTTTCTTCTAAGAGTTTTGTAACTTTTTTTTTTTTAATTTTATTTATTTATTCATGAGAGAGAGAGAGGCAGGCTCCCAAGGAGCAGGGAGCCCGATGCGGGACTCGATCCCAGGACCCCGAGATCATGACCTGAGCCGAAGGAAGACGCTTAACCATCTGAGCCACCCAGGCGCCCGAGTTTTGTAATTTTATGTCTTACATTTAAGTCTTATATCCATTTTTAGTTTTTGCATATGTTATAAGGGTCTAACTCCATTCTTTTGCATGTAGTTTTACTGACACCGTTTGTTGAAGAAACTGCCCTTAAGGCATGTTTTAATCAAGTTTTAAAAATCCTCTTAGAATTTGACTTTCTAATTTGTGAGATAAATGCTCTTTGATTCAGCCTTTTGCTAGTTTCTTGTCTCACCTTGGCTTCCATGCACAGGGCTGTCGTTACTGGGGACCACCTCACAAGAGGCACTGCTGAGAGGAGCAAAGCACAGAGCTGGTGCCTTCGTGTGTCCATAGCAGGTGAGCAGTTACTGGGTATGCCCAGGACTTCCCTACAGCTCTCATCACATCAACTGTTCACCCATCCATCAAGCTAGACCGAGCTCACTGGGGCTGGCAGCCAGCCCCTAGCAGAGACCTGGCAAAACCGTATTTAACAGATGGAGCTGAGTAAGGTAAATTGTCCAGTGTGGTTATGAAACCCACATTCAAATCCCAATCAGCCAGGCTCAAAAGACTTTTGCTCTTAACCACCATACTAGGTTCTTGTTTCACCATGTCTGTTTGTAATGACCTTAGTGGTACCAAGCTCATCATCACAATATGCCTGTCGAATGCCATTCTTCATTCCGAGCTTGTACACCACGGATGGAGCTCGTAGCTGGTTAAATCTGCAAAGGTAAAGCAGACGGGCCTTTCCAGCCGTACTGATGGGGCCCTCTTGTGGCAGTAGCAGCCGTTGGAGGATGATGGAGATGATGGGAAGCAGTGTGCATGAAAAGCAATTATTTACTGAGGGTCTGCTGTGTTCTTTCATGGAGTTAGGCCTTCACCATATCTTTGAATATTCTGACGCTTAACTCTTGCACGAATACCGGTTTAGACAAAGCTAAGGGATTTGTCCAACTTCCTTCAGCTGATAAATTTAAATATGGACTTTAATTCCAAAATCTTTTCTTCCCAAAGAATTCTAGATAACATCCCTAGATTAGAATGCCAAAGGAGAATCTCATCAGGAATGCCTCATCATGTGTGCTTATCCTTCAGGCAGTTTTTTCCAGTGAATAGTTTTGAGGACAGTATCTACAAATGATGACAGAATCATGAAACTATCTGAGATGTAAGAATGTATAAGAGGAATATCATCCTGAGAATGGTAGGAAGAAGTTCCTTGGAGAAAAGACATTTGAGCTGATTCCTGAAGGAGACAACTAGTATTCGACTGAGGAGATACTGGAGGGGACAGCCCTCTAGCATTCCAGGGCCACTGTATCTGCTTCTGTCTGGGGTGCATCCCCCTTTAATGTCTTTATAGCAGATGCCCTCATCTCTGTGGGCCTTCCCTGGCCAGCCTATCTGAAATTGCACCCCACCGTTGTTGCTATTCCTCTCCTGTGCTTTATCTCTATAGCACTTGTCTCTTTTGATGAAATTGAAGCTTTATGAAGGCACAGATGTTGGCCTGTTCTGTTCACTGCAGTATCCCTGGCACCTAGAAACAACAGTGCCGGGCACACTGTGGGTACACTATTTCCTGAATGAAAACATCTAGACAAAGAGCCAATTAATGGCTATATTTTTTAAGCATAGCAAGGCAGAAATACGGCCTCATCTTCATTTTAGAAAGATCATGCCAGCTGCAGCATTGGGACTGTAGGTCAGGAGTGCACAAATTCACATCTTATAGGGAGGGGCCAGGCAGGTAAAAAGTGTGAATCTGAATGAATGTAATCAATACATACAGTAGTTAGTGGTAGGGCTTGTGGTACTTACCTGCTTAAAGGCACTGAAATTAGAACAAAAAAAAGTTGCCAGGCAGATCCGGCCTGCTGGCTGTTGGTGTGCCTAAATCGAGGAACTGCTGTACATCAGATTTGCACTCTAACAGGATCACTGAGGATGCTGTGCAGATTATGGTCAGGTGGGGGGCAAAGAAAGGCAGGACTGTACAGATGAATACATCAGCTACAGAAGATTGCTGTACAGTCCTGGGAAGAAATGATGGGGTCCTAAAGTGTAGCTGTGAAAGCAAAGAATAAACATTGAGTTATTTTAGGAGGTAGAATTAAACAGGTGATAATGAAATCAGTTTCTAATTTTTATTTATAATTAAGGCTGTGGTGAATTTCCTTTTTGCCTAAGTCTGTTATACTTAAGGAGACCACCTGAACT